AAGGCCGGTCCCCTTATCAAACCACATTTAAATTCACTAGATCCAGATCTGCATCAGATTGATCAACATCATAAATATCAATCTCTAAACATGTCAGATTTTTTTGTCTTCAAGATCCATTAATTATTCTCTGAAAATGTTGAGAAGCGTCCCATCTCAAAAAAATCTTTGAAACATCCCCTGATCTGGATCCAATGGGTTCTTTATGAAACCATACCACATTTTTTCATCAAGATCCATGAATTATTCCCTGTGAAATCAGTGAAAATGTTTGTTTTAAAGTGATAAAAATAGCAACTTTGATTTTATCTAATCCTGCTAAAAGAAAAACAACTGTAGCTGAAACACAGCTTCCTTGGTGGAGGAAATTATACGAGCCTGATGTGTTATCAAATGTTTCAAGAGTTGGTTTATTGCATCATTATCAATGATTTTCAACTAAAATCTTATTATATCAGTTTATGTGTTAAGTTGATCTTCTAGTTTGTGTAAAAGTTTAGTTTCTAATAGTGTAGATGCAGTTTGAGTTTGAGCAGATGGACAGAAAGAACATTTTGAGCATGAACGATCCCTCTGATTGATATTGAAAATAGAAAAATGCAGCTTTAAGTTACAAATACACTTCTTCTCTTGTGACTACATTACACTCGTCAGCAGCTTTATTCCAGAAATGTCAGAAACAGTCCGCTCTCACTTAAAGCTGTAAATATTTTCAGGAAGAAACTTTAAAGAGTCGGAGAGAAGTCATTTCAGCGGAGCGTAGTTTTTTAGACTGTATAGAAAGTGTTTAACACTGTCGCTTCAGTCTCTGCCGTGTCAGACGGAAGGTCTTGTGCTGAAAGAGAGGCGCCTTAAGTCAGGTCTTTCATCATCACTTAGTGAGACATATGCAGTAGTGTGTGTGTGCGAGGTGACCCGAGCACGCCGGCAGATACTGCGGCAGCCGTCACCTCCGAACCACACACTACTGCTAAAATCACAGCTGGCTATGTTAAAAAATGTCTTATGTAGTTAGCACACGGGCTCAAAGACGCACGGCCCTGGTATGTGAGTTTAACCTGGTGTCACAGGTGCTCAGAGAGGGAGAGAGGGAGTACTTGTCCCAGATAATAACTTCAGTTTGTTGTCTCTATCCCCCTGCCAGCCCGTCTTCCTGTCCTTCCGAATAACAGCGGGGGCAGGTAAACCTAATGCAAATAAGCACAAGTGTTGTGTGGTGCAGTGATGTCGTGGTAAATATTAATTTTTTTTCTTCATTATAATTCTTCTTCCCATTGTTGCTATTGTTTGATTTGATTTGCTTGATTTTCTTCATTAGTTTGCACAAATTTCCTGAAAAGGCGGATTACTGCCTGTTTGAAGAGTTTTATTCCAGAATAAAACATCATCAGTGGAAAAATGTAACTTGATTGCTTAAAATGCTCCAGTCATTTTAAGGAGTTTAATTACAAGCCTCTGCATCTCGTCTGTTAACGTAGAAAAGAGTCAGCACCAGCTCATTTTTCTTTGGAATGAAAACTTGGAATTTAGCAAATTAAACTTTTCCATTTTCTTTTTTTTCTCCTCTACAGGGAAATGTTGCCAAAGGGGGGAGAACATATTTCGTGAAGCGCCTCTGTGAGAACACCAGAGAAACAAACAGGACACACAGGAACACACACAGGAACACACACAGTAACACACACAGTAACACACACACACACACACACGCACACACCGGAACACACACACTCAAAGAAACACGCACACACACGTATGCACACACACTTTGCACAAGCGTACACTGAAGAACACAGACAAACTTTTTTTCAGCAGTGCTGACCAGTTGCAGTTGTCCTGACACCTCATTCATACGAAAACACCCGGCCCCTTCTCTCTCCATAAAACACTCGCTGAGATGTGGACGAGCACCCGAGGGCCCGGCTCCAGACAAGACACACATCGCTGACCTCACCGTTGCCATGCAACCCCCATTCCCCAGAGAAGAAAGAAGCAGGACGGACGACTCTTTTCCACGCCACAGCCTCCTTTGCCAAAACTCTAATTGAAATCAGTCCTACTACACGTTTAGACACCGTACTCGCCATTTTTAGGTATGCCTCTATGTATAGAAGCTACTCTCCATACAGTATGTAAGGTGTTTTAAAAAAAGAAAAGTGCAATGCAAAAAAGTTGTATATCTATATTGTTAGGATTATTTGTACATTAGACATTATAACATAGAGTTGTTGATGGTTTTAGTGCCGTTCTCTTTTCTGACCAAACTTCCTGGTCCCTTTGTTGGAATAGATGGATCTTATCAGTTTATTTCAACAGTTTATATACATATATATATTTTTTGTTTTGTTTTTTTGAGTTGTTCTCATCGTCGTTGTTGTGTGCACAACACACTGCCATGCCTGACACATCCGTTGAGTCTCATTTTATATACTGTACTTTTTAAAGAGATAATTTATAATTCTTACCAAAATGTTTATGCTGAAGCGCGTGCAGAGAGCGAGCAGCGACAGTGACCTTCGACGAGTGCGCACACGAGGAGAGGAACAGGAAGAGCTCCTCAGCGACTCGTTGCCTATCCAAGAATGTTTTAAGCAGTGCCATAGACCATGCAAGTATATAAGATAATGTTTCATACATAGCACTCTCACATTACTATTCTTACTCTAACTTATTTCTATAATATTATGATGAATGTGATATTTTAGATAGGCTTGGGTATCCTTCAAATGTAAACTTTTTTGTCTATTTTTGTTACTGCATTATGGTGCCAAGTATCCTACACAGAGATGAAGTGTGTAAGAGTTATAAAATACTTAAGTCAGATGGTAAAGGTATTGATTATGAAATGTAAAAGAAAATATAGAGAGAAACTCTAAAAGGTGGAGGACGAGCAGGAAGACTTGCTTTGTATTTGTTTTGTATGTAGCCTTCAGCAGCCTTCACTGCAGATCATTTGAGCATTACAGGGAGCGATCGGAGACGCCAGCGTTTCTTTTATCGATTTCATTTACTACACTACAGATTTCAGACTGTGTGAAGCCGTCAGATTGATCCTCCTTGATTTTTTTTTCTATCTAAATCACCGCAAGTAGAAATGATTTTGTGCCTGCCGCAGAATTTATGTTGTCTCGTGTGATTTGGTTCATAGGCAAAAAGTTATATATAAAAAAAAACCAGAACCCTGCTTGTTTTTGTTTCTGCTGGTCATTGTGAGTTTACTGTAGGAGTATAAGCTGCAGTTTTTCTTCACTCCATCTTATAAAAAGGCAGATAGAGATTTTATTCTAGCCCTTTCGGCCTGGCCTCTACTGTAGGTGATGCAGTTCTCAAGCAATAAAAACCATTAGAGCTCACTGGCTGTTTGTCCTCATTTTACCTCCTACTACACAATAAGTACTGAAGAAAAGGTTTTCATCCAGGCCTTCAACAGTTGGTCTTCCACACCATCATCAGTGCACTAATACAACACAGTCATAGGCCCAATGGGGGGAGAGTTACACACGTTCTCTGTTTTTCTTCAGGGGAGAAGTAAATCCAACACCAGTTTTGATGGACTGAAAAATTGTCCAAACAAAAAAAAAACCCTATGGGCTTATATTTATAAGGTCAACTTTATGTTGGATATTCATATTCTCTTTCTATTTGTATTAGCTCCATGTTGGCTGATATTCCCATTCAGTGATTTATATTTTAATTTGTATCTGTAAAGAAATCTGCCATTTCTAATTAAAATGCATTACCCAGGCCTGCAGAAGTGAATGGAGTATACTGTTTACTGATAGAAGCAAGAGGCCCGAAATGATTCATATCAGTCCTCATTAAACTTGTGATATCTGAAAAATATGTATGCAATTTAACATTTTATGTCATGTTGTGTATTTTTTAACTTGTGTCATACTAAACCTTCCTGAATATTAGTCTCAGTTGAGTCAATCCAAGAATTCCTTCGGGTCGCTTTTGAATAATTCAATTTTAAGGATGTAAAAATTGTAATAGTGCAACATGCAAAAGAAACGAACTCAATATAAATACACCAGACACTGATTTGTCTCAATAACCTTTAAAGGACCAAAGTATCTACAGGAGGAAACTGTAGAGAGCAGTTTCCTGTCTCATCACGTTATTGTGCTACCTCGCTGATCTGACAGTCAGTTTTCACTTCATGTTCGGATTGTTAGAGATCCTTGAGGATGATCTGATTCCTGATTGGCTGAATCCAGAGGAGACGGTGCAGAAACTACAGTGGAGTCACAGAGGTGCACCGGCGTGTCGCAGACAGAGGGGGCGCACCTCTGTGAACGGATCTCCACATCAATGAGTGTGTGACGTGTTTACACCTGAAACATCACAGGCCCGGAAACACACACACTTATTTTATACGATAAATTAAAAATGACTCCACATTCAATTCAGTAACTTTACTGTGAACCATCCGTTTTCATTTCAAAAGAAAAGGACTCACTGATTTTTAGTGGATTTCAGTCAAACGACGGAGACAGAATAATATTTAAAAATATAAAAACAGGCCTAATAATGACGATAATAAATTATATTTATTTTAGATTGACAATTATGATGCTTTAGATTAAAAACCTCCCTTTGACAGCTATAATAATTATAATTTAGAGAAGTTGTATTCCCCGACTTTACACTAAATTAAAAAATTTAAAATAATTAGCCTCAAAGCTGAACTTAAAAACATGACTAAAATCGTCACTTTATTATTATTCATCATCCGATTCTTTTTTAACCTATTATTAGACTTTTATTACTGATAATGAAAATAATAATGATAACAATAATAACTATTATTGTTATCAGTTTCGCCATGAGTCATTCAGAATAAAATATAAATGATTCTTGAATCAGCATTAATCCTCTAAAAACACCCTTGTTGCCAATAACGAAATTCAATTATTGATAGTCATGAATTTGTCTTTAATTTATATTAAGCCCATACATTCAAACAAAACCCGTAAGGAAAATAAAAAAAACAAAAATGCTTGTTAAATAATTTATTCATAATACAAAGTGTTTTTCTTCCTATAACCTTCCCGGAAGCAATAATACTCTTTTAATTCCAACATAAACCTCGGTGCAGTTTTTTCTGTTCCGCAGTGAGTTGAGGTAAAAACATAAACTCTTTCAAAAAGAAAAATCAAAAAACAAAAAGGTGTGTGTGATGTTAAAACAAGCGGGGTTTTCTTCCTTTACAGTGATTATTTACAGCGTTTTATACATTTGTGTGCCGGTGCTGAACAGAGGATTGGAGGGGAAAAAAAAGGGCACGACTTTAACTTTGCAGGAATCAAAAACCAAGCAGCGGGAATAACCGGGAGGGAATAAGCGCGTCAGGGCTGCGGAGGGAAGAAAAAGACTGCCACGTTTCCACAGGCGGAAACAACATAACTTATTATTCAGTAAAAAATATATATACACAATCTCACGTACATTTTTCATCCTCAGGCTACAGCACAAAAAACATTCACTCGTCTCAAACCTGCGCCCCCTCCAAACATTCTCCCCTGCTCGCCTTCTAGGACAGTGGATACCCTGGTTAAACTGAGCTTTAGAAGCATCACAGGCCCCGTTTACACCTGACACTGCGTAACATGCGTCTGAGATCCGGATCAGTGTTGGCTGCTGATAAATCCCCTCTAATAAAACACCTGTCATGACACTGCGTCGAAGAAAAAGAACGAATCACATAAAAAGCTGAATTATTGAGGGAAATGACACAATAACGTCATTTTGTTTTCAGATGAAAATATAGCATCAGTGCTGACTGTTCCCATGCAGGGCAGATGTGACCCTAACCCTTCAAGGTGACAAGAGGCCGAAATAAAATAAAAAGGAGGTGCAAATAAAATAATGTCATTAGTTACACTGCAGGAGAAAGGTAAATCAGCAGTATTCGTCACTACCGAAGTAACTGAGTCCAACACTGATCCGGATTGTTGTATTTTACATTTACACCTGTTGTTGAAACTCCACTTGTATGCGTAAAGCTGCCAGATATAGTCTGACATAGTCTGTGTCCTTTTTCACCGACATGAACTTGTCATGGTCAGTCTGCAGCTCTACCTGGAGTCTCCTTGCATACCGTGCGTGTGTGTCTGAGTGTGTGCGTGTGTGTGTGTGTGGGGGGGTGTTTATGTGGGTTTGGATGCAGCCAAACGCGTCTTCCATGCGTCATGGCGCACACTTGGATTTTTCAAATTGCGCATCCCCCTCAGACGCATGTTCACAGCAGTCAGGTGGAAAGGGGGTCCGAAAGAGTGCGACGAGTCCCTGTTGGACTCTTTTGCCCCCCCACCCCCACTTTTGCCCCCCAGCTGTGGGCATCACAAAGTGTCCGAGCTGTTACTGCACGGGCTGATCAGCGCCAGGTTGGTGGCCTTGTGCTTTTTCAACAGTCTCGTGATTTTCTCGTCGTCCGAGTTGGGGTCCAGCGGTTTGTTATACTCGTCGTCCTCCTCGTTGTCCGAGCTCTCCTTCATCTTCTCCGTCTCCGAGTCGTGCTTCTTCTTGGCCGTGGCCATCTCCGCCGCGTGCCTCTTCCGCCATTTGGTTCTTCTGTTCTGAAACCAAACCTGTGGAGGAGGAGAGGAGGCAGAGCCCGGTGAGATGCGCACAGGAGGATCAACAGGTCCAGATAGAAACAGGCCATCAAATGGCACAAAAACACGAAAGCAGACAAGCTCCACTATTTCTATCACATCATGCAACAGGGCCAAATAATCCTGTGTATGTGCAACAGCAACAAGTAAATACATTATAACAACAACAACAATAATAATAATAATAGCAGCAAAATAAGTAAATAATAGCAACAACAACAACATCCAAATAATAACAGCCATAATAATAATAATAATAATAATGTTGTGTGCAATCATTCTGTAGTAATACGATAATTAACTCTCGGGCCTGCGCTGCCAGTATTGGGACTTTGCACAGAAGTGAAACTGGTGGTAATAATGTTTTCTATCTCAATATTAGTGAGCAGGTGTTAGTCGGTGTTTACCTTGACTTGGCTCTCGGTCATCCCTAAAGAATAAGCCAGCCGGGCTCTCTCCGGACCCGCCAGGTACTTGGTCTGCTCGAAAGTCTTCTCCAGGGCGAAAATCTGCTGTCCTGAAAAAGTGGGTCTGGAGTGTTTCTTCTTGCCGTCCTTGTCCATCATGATGCCGGCCTGAGCTGCAGAAACAAACACGAGCACACACGGTTAAAAGATTATTCAAGTTAAAGTTTTACACAATGGTTATTTAACTGAGCTGCTGCGTAAAAACAAAGGTCAACGCGTTTAACTTCACATTCAGCCTCAGATATTCCTAAATGTATATTCATGAAAGTGTCTGCAAACATGCTGAGTTAACTAACTTATCATTTATAGGATTTATAATTCAATATGTTTATTATCTAACAGGTTCCAAAGTCATGTGTCACATTATTATTATTATCAAGTTAGTAACTCTTGAGTCTGACGCTCAAAAACACAAAATAATGCTGAAGAGTTGTTTTCGTTTTGGGAAAAAAAGCTATAAATATTCAAAATTATATTTTAGATTTTAGCAGCTAATTTGGTTGGTCACAGTGCGAAATTAACGTTAACTAGAGTTATTTTTGCTTTGTGTAATGACAGAGTTCTCCTTCCAGAATAATGCCTAAAATCACAGGGAAAAATCTGCCATCTCACAGAGGAGCTTGTTTTTATTTTTCTGAATTTCCACAATTTATAAAGTAACTTTTAGAAATGTGCAAACAGACAAGAGAGAGCCGGGACTTACAGGGGCAGTGAACCCGCGGGTCCCTCCAGGGAGAGCCCTGCATCACCCCGGGCCAGAAGATGGGCGCCCTCCCCGGCAGCTCGGCCAGGGGCTTCGGGTACCGCGACACCGCCGGGCTGAAGTACATCCCCGCCGCCGCGGCGGCTGCGGTGGTGGTCAGGCCGTTTATCCTCGGGAAGCCTGACAGCAGCTGCCCGGCCGTGGTGATGGGTCTCCCCAGGATGTCGCTTATTCCGTGCGGAGTTCCTATGGAGATGTGGGAGTTGAGGTTGGACAGCTGAGGCGCCTTGAAGCCCGCCGGGCCCTGCTGCAGCGCGTACGGGAACAGGGACGTCTTCATCTCGGTCATGTTGTGCAACGCCGCCAGCGGGGTGCTGCCCAGGACGAAAGCACTCTGCCGGTTAGCCTCCATCTGCCCGACCGCTAACATTTGTGGACATGAAACACCAAACTCGCTCGGAGAAAAAGGACGGTGGACAAAAATAAGTTAAGCAGAGAAAAAAGAAGGCTCGGGGCGGGCTGGTGGTGTTCAGGAGTCGGGCCGCTTCTCCCTGTCCCGAGGTTTCCTGGAGGAGCAGGAGGAGGAGGAGGAGGAGGAGGAGGAGGAGGAAATGTTGGAAAGTTGAGCAGCTGCGAACTTCTCGTCTCTGAGGAAGATCTTGATCCAACTCCCAAAATATGGCTCCGGTGCTGGTCTGTGTGTCGGCGGGTCAGCGGAGAGAGAAGAGCATGTGTCCTGCTCAGCCTGCGGGGAGTCAGTGAGCCTGCGGCGGTGTGTCAGTGATCCTGTAGCGGCGTGTCAGTGATCCAGAGGCGGGGTGTCAGTGAGCCAGAGGCGGGGTGTCAGTGAGCCTGTGGCGGGGTGTCAGTGTGTGTCAGTGGGCTTGGTGGAACCATCAGCTCGTCTCCTCGCTTCTCTCCGCTCTGCCCTCACTGAGCCGCCGCCAGCTGATAACAGCGCCGCCACCTGCACCAGCCTCATTCCCATTGGACGAGGCTGAGTGAGACAGCGACCTGATTGGACGAGACGGGGACTCCGCTGCTTCACACGCGCGTCTTCGCTGGAACAACGGTGCCTTCATCCACTGTCGGAAATATAAGCTTTTTTAGTTTATGCCACAACACGAAGGAGCGTTTTTATTGCGTCAGTGACTGTCTGAATTGATAAATGACAGATAATCTTTCATAGCATGTCTGAAAGTTACCTAACAAGTAGCGCCAACACCGGAAAAATAAGCAAAGCCTCTGCTACAAATATATATGCACTACAAAGCCAAAGTTTTCTACTTTTAGCTTCTTAAAAGACTTACTATAATTTGTCAAACTTTCCATACAAACCCCTCAAAATTGTCTTCACTATATAAAATGTACAAAACAAATGTGTCCACATGCTATTAGCAATTCAAATCAATTTGAATGTTCATTAAAGCGTTTGGCAGACAAGGCTGTCTGAGGAGACCCTGAACGCACCACGCAGCCACACTATTAAGATCGTGTTAATGACGCGTCTCCCACTGTGGAAATCATTGTTTCCTGCAGGTGACAAAGAATATACATTCACATTATCAGCTGCTGGCAGACCATCAGACTGTATTAAAGTGGGACGAGCCAGAGAGGAACACATGTGTTTGATTGTAGAGAATATTGGACAGAAAACACTGAAAGATAACTATGTTTATTCTAACTTGATTTGTAGTATTTTTTTCAATTTGTTTTCAGTGGATTTATTCGATATAAAATGATGCGGTTATGACTTCTCAACCAGTAAGCATGTTTATATTTTAATTTCCTTTGCACAAACTGTTTTGTCACTGAGTCCTGGAGGATGAGAGAGAAACTGAGTTGTTATTGTAACTTCGTAATAAGAAATAACTTAACATCACCTTGTTGAGCATCCCCAGTGTTTCATGTTTTTTTTAATTTATTTATCATGTGAGAGAAAAACTGTAAAAGAAAATACATATAAGTGCAGCGGATCATTTAAGAGAAGCTACAAAGTCTTTAAAGGACGGAGCTGGATTTTATACGAGCGAGATAATCCCTGGGTTTTTTTTTTGGAGGTGGGGGGGGGGGCATATTGTGTGTGCGTGTGTGTGTGTGTGTGTGTGTGTGTGTGCAGTCATCACTCTGAGTGCAGTAATATTTTATGGAGATGTGAGCAGGTTGTAAGAGTGAAATATGGCCACGTTAGCATTTGAAAGGCTTCAGCAAATGCACCTTGCTGAACCATTTGCTCACCGGGGAAAGATTGTGGATTTTAAAAAGGTTTTCAACGCGAGGTGATTCACAATTTTGACTGTATTTCTCCGGCCTGAAAGGATGCACACATACACACGGTTTCTAATTCTGTTAATGTCCCTCTGTGTCTAATTTATACCAGTATATTTCCCCCTGATGATATACATGGATTTTATTATCTTGTTTTAAGGTCTTTCTGAAAATGATCACTATAGGAGAAGCTGTTGGGGGGATGATAAAAAAAAAATAAAAAGCGCTTTATATAGATTTCCCTGCAGCTCAGTCTGCTGGTGCATGTGATGATAGTGAAGTTAAACACATGCAGTTAGAGGCTGACCCAGTGTGGGATCAATTACACAAAGATTGGCACCTTCATCTGCAGCCAGAGAGCAGGGCTGCCAAACGTCACCACAAAACCATCAGCGCAATTCAACACGATGAAGGATCTGGATTTTTATCTCGTAAATTTACAACTAATTTAAAGTTTAAACTCTCAAAAGCAGATTTGTTATAAAAGAAATAGACGCGGGGCTTATTAAAGAAAGAGAAAGTGAAAATATTGATTCATAACTGTTTGAAAATGTATCAAAGCAATAAAATAACAACGAAAGCAATTAAATAAAATGGCCACTTTTAAAAATGAAGATATTGACAGACCTAGCCAACATAATTATCGATTATTGGATGTTAATGTTATAATAAAAATAACGAAGACACCAACGATAATAACTAGAACAACAATAATAATAGTAACGATAATAATAATAGTGATAATAATAATAATGATAATAATAATAGTGATAATAATAATAATGATAATAATAATAGTGATAATAACAATAATGACAATAATAACAACAACAACAACAATAATAATAATATGAATTATGAAATTAATGACATTTGGATTTTATTCATATTATTTCCTCATATATATTTGTAGTAGACTAGCACGGACCTGTTGCTCTGAGTGGTGCGGTGCAGTCTTCTTCATGCACTAAACTCTATTGTGGATTGTTGGCCTGCTGATGGCGCGTATCTGCCGCAGGCCTTTGTCCCGCCATTGACTGGAAATAGGTTAATAAACAGCGCAAAGATAATCTTATCTGAGAGGGAGCTCCATACAAATGTGAATTGACAGCGCCGTGACAGAGGAGATAAGCAGATGTTTGGACAAAAAGAGGGTTGTTGTTGGTTTGGAGCCGGTGGACGTGCTCAGTCACAGGGGACGTCCAGCTGCTCCAACACCACCACGGTCTGTCTGCCATTTAAAGCTACTCACACTGAAATAAATACGTCCCAGAGAGACACTTTTATGCAATCGAATACACGCCAAGGGCCTTAAACATTAAAAAAGTACTTGGCTCTATAATAAAGGCCTGAAACCTGCTATTTGTTTGAACAGAACACATAAATTCACAAGCAGGTCATGAGACAAGTCAAACCATTTCATTACTGCTGTTCTTACTAAACTTGTGTCTGTGAGCACCCAGTGAAAAGTCTGATGGACAGAAGAAGACTGGGACCCTCTCAAACTGCAGACTGCATGTAGATGGTGCAACACAGGAAATCACTGAGACACTGTATAGTTTGTCTATGGGCGCCCTCTAGTGGCTGGAAGTGAACCCTACTTCATTTACACGCGTAAACAGACTTTACAACGCTCAGAGCAGTTTGGACACTTGAGCAGAAAATAAAGACTCAAAGGAGCAATGGTGTAACTGACTGACACATCAGCTCACACCTGCAGTTTCATTAAAACACAGCTGTTCAGAGAAAGAAAACCCTTTAAATAAATTGTAACATGGTGGATCATTCCAGAGAGGAAGCTCAGATTTCCAAGAAACAATGTCAAGAGATTTTGTTTATTTTCTTTTTACTCTAGTGTTATTGAATTGAATTTGTTATTTATGAGCACAAACCTCTGGTTGTATCATGTTGTATCTGTGGAATTACCATATTCAGCATCATTTTTTCCCTCTTAAATAATTTGATATTGATTGACTTTGTCAGTGAGGAACAGGATATTACAAAAATGCTAGTACATTGCCTGCGTTTAACACTGGAGGCATAGAGAACACACCAATATTAATATTTGAACATATTATTTATGTTTTAACTTCCACTACACGGGCCTACATGTAGTAGGCTGTCTCAGTGTACATCTCAGTGTATGTGTAATAAACAGATTCAATCCTCAAACTGTTTAGCCCTGACATCCTGAACTCTGGATGACTGACAAAATCACAGACACTGTTTCTAGTCAGCATGGCTCCCTCTAGTGGCCACGAACAGAAAACAGAGATCTGCACACACAGGTTGCAGAGTCTATTTTTATCATCAGGTAACAACACCAACAAACCTTGGAGCAAAATAAACCCAGCTGAGTTTTCATTAAGAAACATGGAGTGATATTTTGAAAAATAGCTTTCATTGATTTCTGTTTTCTAAATGAATAATGTGAGTAAAACACATAAGAGTCCAGTTCACTGACAGTCATCTCAAGCAAAACAGAGTTGATTCATATGAGGGATGTGTGTGCTTGGTGAATATTACTAGTTATTATACAACATCATGCTGCATGATCATATCCTGGACCCCTGTTATGTGTGTATTCTCATTCCAACCTAT